AGGGGGAGGGGGAAGATAAAGAGGCGGGGACAAGTGGCTTATGGGCAAAGTACTATGGGTTCTTGGATAATGGCAGGATATGGTAACATACATCTAAGAAAGTGTGAACCTATTCTCCTAAATCATATGTAGTATTGTAAAGCAATGCTATCTCAATAAATTAAAAAATAGTTCCCAAATTCAACTCTACATGGGATGACTATTTCAACCAGAAACTCTAATGAGCACAAGAAGAGAAAATGTAATGTACCATATTTTTATTCATGTGTCCATTTATTCATTTGTTCTACAAGTATTAAAGACAGATTACACTATAAAAAAGAAATTAAATCCCCAAATTACTCCTAAGCAATTTATCTTCCATTTCTATTAAAATGTGCTTTGTTTTAATATCTTAAATATCTGTCATTTAGAATTCATTTGATAGAGATTTTGAGGGAAAAATTTGACTGAAAATGTTAAGATCTTGCAATATTTTACATTTGAAATTATATTACAGATTATGCAAATGTAGTGCCTGCATACATCTTGTGAATAACTGAAATTACCTTACAAATAAATCCAACTATTGCTGTTATCAATGAATGGAGTCAAACAATGTCATCAACCTTTTTTTTTTTAAAGATTTATTTATACAAGAACTGGGGTACAGGCCAGAGGCACGGGAGGGTGAGAGAATTCACCAGAGACAGAGCGGGGAGCAGTACGGGCAGAAGGACCGAAGACACTGCTGAGGGGAACAGCGGGAGAGGCAGGAGAGGTCTGCTGCACCATGTGGGTTTCTCCCTGGCTGGCCGGGAATAGAACCCACGCCTCACAGCGCAGCGCTCAACCCGCTGCACCACCAGGGAGGCCCTATTTTCAACCTTTCTAAGAAATAGAACAACTACTGTTTTAATGAATTGCAAAAGAATAATTTTGAAATGTAATTTTCCTGGGATTCATAAACAGCCTATTGACTTACACTTTTAACTCTACATTGAATGAGAAATCACCCAAGTGATACACTGATGGGCGTGTCATTCATATGAAAAAAACAAAAGCCAACTTCTTTGATACAGAAATGAAACATAATCACAAAATCTGTAAATCCTAAACATATTATAAATAAACAAAACTAGTTATTTTCATCCACACTGGGTTTTCTTTTTCCTGGTAAATTTAGGTAGTAACAGGATACTTTTAAAAAAGAGTACATATTTGCTAGTTATTACTCTTCACATAAGGAGGGCTCCTGATTTATAGGCTAACCACTTGCAAGTGTAAATACCTGTTTTCCCTTCATAACAGAGAGAAGGCTTCTGTGCCCAGCTGTCTCCATGAAGAGGCCCACTTGCCTCAGCAATTGAGAAATGACAAATCCATCCCATACAGCTGGTGATGAAAACGATTCAAGAAACTGCCTGCATCAGCTCAAAATCTTTTTAAAGGCAATGCAAATTGAGGTGGAGAGAGAGTGGGAGAAAAATCATCCTTTGACGAACAGACTTATTTTGGGATAATGTAGCTAAAGATCTCATAGACATGTATCTTGTTTGAAATTTCCTTTAGGTTTTAAGAAAGAACATCCAGGATTTTTATTGTTTCTGTAACATCTAATAGTCTATATTAAACGTCACCATTTCTCAAGAGCTATTCTTAGGTAATGACGATAAACGTAGGTAATATACTATATAGTGCTTTTCAGTTTAAAACGCACTTTACACACATTGACAATTTATGAATCAAATCTTTGAATCAAATGTTTCTGAACTATTTGATCTACAAACAAGCTTGTAATTTCATGTGTATTTAGGCAAAATTTGATTAATAGGGGAAAAATTCTTACATTTATAACGTAATTGATGAATCTGGTGTGAATTGGTTTGAAATGCCAGACTTAAAATCCTTTTTTTTTTTGGTGGGGGGGGAGCTTTTAAAGAGAGGAAGTCATGAAAAGGAAAAAAAGAAAAGGGAAAACCTAAGAAAGGTCTTGAAGTTGCTTAATCAAAACAGTTTTGTTCTAAACTCTGCTTCAAAGAGACTTTTTTTTCTAAGTGGAACACTTGAATAGAACTGACGATATATTCCTTTATGCGTAAATAATGGTCTTTTGAATGGATCGAAGGCAAGTGGGCATGAACATTTGAGGTCTTGATTTAGAGTGTGACATACTCAAATAGAAGTCTTTGATTATCAACAATCTTCAAGTACTAGCTTTAAGATTCTCCCTCAACAACCAGCTAGTTTTCAGATCAATAGTCTGCAAAATGCAGTGTATTCAGTTTGGTCTACTGGGTAAATGATATCTGGAGGTTGATGCTAATATTTTAAATTGTAACAAAGTTCTTGCTGGAGTAACAAATAGTGGGTTTGGTGAACTAACTTTGTGATCTGCTTCTATTTCCTAATTTATGCTCTTCAGAGTGAGGGTATATTTTTTTCCCTCCGAAACTAAAACCATTGTTCACAATGACTAGATCCCCTTCAGACACATCTAAAACAGTGTCATTGGAGCTAATGGGGCTGAAGCCCATGGATCAGTGCAGGGCATCCCTAGGTTGTCCTGTCCACTGAATATTCCAGGACATGTACAAGAATCACCAAATATTTCTAGTCTCCAAAAAGAGACCTCATGAAGAGAAAATAGTGGGATAATGCTAAGAAAATGTATGCAAAAGTATCATTTATAGAATGTGACAGAAAGTATCTACTATCCTCTATTAGGTGATTATCATTGCTATTTGGGGGGACACCTCAAAACAATTACCAAGTGGGTATAAGTTTATTTTTATCTCCAGGTACATTGTTCCAAACGTAAATAAAGTTCCAGGAGGAAAAGGAGCAATGACAAGTATTGGGGTTGGTGTGAGATAGAGAGAACAACCTTTAAGTCTTTTCTTTCTAAAAAGTTAATTATCAATGTTCCCCATTCAGATGATGAATTTTACTTAGAATGATGATTTTAAAAGTTGAAGTAAGGTATTTTCATACTGTTGGCTAACTTTTAATGGCTCTTGATTATTTCTATAAGGTGTAAAAATTGAAGGGTTAAAGTCCCTGTATCAGATCATCATCATTCCTAAATACTGTGAACAAGCTGCAGAAGTCAGCCCTGAAGTTCTTCACTTTATGGCCTTGCCAATTCTATAGGGTAGCTCTGAGGCTTAAATGAGATGATATATATTTGTAAAAGAGAAAATACCTGGCACATAGTAAGTGCTCAAAAAATGTTAGCTATCAGCAATAGTAGCAGCTAGAATCAGAAATTATCTGATATGTGGAGCTCCAAACAGAGTGAACAGGAAGAAAAGAAGAAAATGAACCTTTATTGAGTATTCACTTGGGGTCATGTGACTGGACTTCCTCATGTTTAGACTCCTTTTATCCTCACTCACAACAACTCTGTAAGACTACTGTAGAGGACCATGGGGGGTCCTGTACCAAGTAAGTGGATGAGCCAGAATTCACTGCCTATGTTACTCTAGGCAGATCTGACTGATGTTTCAGACCAATATTTTCTTGTGAACCAATCACATCAAGCACGAAATTAAAAAAGTCATATATATATATATATATATATATATATATATATATATATATACTTGAGTTCCACAGGGCTATTTATCTACCTCCTAATTAAGTTGCTTCCAGAGGACAGGGTGGATAAATTTTATCATTAAATTGACTTATTTATGTGAAGGTAAATCCTGGAGGAAGAAAAACCCTCACAAGGGAGTCACAGATTTTTTTTTTCCCTAGAAAGTAAGGATCACGCACAGACTTCTTGCTCTGGAAAAATGATGAGGTATATGGAGCTGGATGCATTTAAAATCAGGACCTTTGTTGACACAAAATCTCTAAAATGTCCAGCAGGTGAAAAATATACAATGATAGAATTCTAGGTATTAAGAGGATAGTAAGGGAAATATTTAGGGACAAGACATTGCCCCAGACCTTTAAAAAGATACCACATATCCTACTTTTCAGCCAACGCAGAAGATATATTTTCATCTATTTCTTGGCCTATTCATGAATCATCTCAAGATCATAAGTCTATGCTGCAAAAAATCTAGATTTCTTTTCATCAGCATGATATATCACCTCTTTTAAAGACGTTCTTTTATAAAAAAGCTTAAGTCATATGTTCTTTTCCTCTGTACTTATTTGACTCTGTGGAGTTTAAGGGAGGACAGAACATTTTCTCCTAGGTAACGAGCAACTGTGTATTTTAGGCTAGAGGTTTTCTTTCCAATGTGAAGTATTTGGGTGTTTAATTGGTCCCACTTTCATATGAACCTGTTGTGGTGTACATAGGAAATAGTTCATTTTCAGTTTCTGTGAATTTTCTTTCCTGTCTCTCTTTCCCCTCAATCCTCACAAAAAGTTTCCAAGTAACAGGCATTCTAAGTCTTTGGTTTCTTTCAAATCTCCTTTCCTCTTCTAATTTTGCATTTTGCACACAGAAGGTACTATAAAAACTGTTCTGAATTATTTCAGAATTGAAACATTAAAAGATACTGCTTTTAATTCTCAAAAAGAAAATTCAGGGCCTCCCTGGTGGCGCAGCGGTTGAGTGCTGGGTTTGCAAACTGCCCGCAGCCTCTGCAGCGCCAGTTCAATCCCCGGCTGCTCCCTGGCCACCAGAGGAGGGTCCCACATGGAGCGCAGACCTCTCCTGCCGCCCCCTGCTCCCCTCAGCAGTGTATTTCATCAGTCTGTCTGTTCTGTTCCCCACTCTGGCTCTGGTGAATTCTCTCACCCTCCCGCGCTTCTGACTGTACCCAGTGTTTGTATAAATACATAAATAAATAAATAAATCTTAAAAAATAAAAATATTTAAAAAGTAAAAAAAAATTAAAAAAAAGAAAATTCAGAAGCATTTCTTTAGAAGGAATACCATTCCTGTGATTCAGAAGCATTTAAGAATGATAACTGTAGGCAACGGATCATAGAGTAGGGTCTATCAAGTCATTAAAATAAATGATACAACAAAACTAAAAGTTAATTGGCAAGTTTACCAGAATTCTGGAAATCCATGAAGCAGCAGCATAAGTGGTTTGCCTCTTTCTCCAGCAGCAACATAGTGAAATCTTAGTCCTGAATCCTGCAGTAGAAAACAGAGGGTATGGAACTTTAGTGGTGTGTTGATTTCAAAGTAGTCATTTAGTATTCCCAGTCCGTTAAAAAAAAACTCTAATTACTTGTAATATCAAGAAATTAAATATTAAATTTCAAAAAGAAGAAACTCATGTATTAGCAGAGAGCAAGTTAACAGATTCACTTTTGTCTACATTCCCTTGTGCCATCCCTTCTTGTTCTGCTTAAAAGGTCAGTGTATATATTATGAGCTTTTGAAATAATGTCACAATTTGTGACTTTCATTTTACTGATGTGTCACATTTCATCTCATTCAGACACTGCAGGACATGTAAATAATTCTGATCTGAATTTATATTCCTGCCATATTTACCTCCTAGTCATGTACTTTTCTCAGCTTACCCCATCAAGAGCTATGCCATCAGTTACATAATTCACACCTCCTTTCCTTATTTTTAGGTGTTTCCTTCCCACATTATTATTTTAAGTTGAGAGTTGCGTGTGCTGTTCCCCTGCTGCCTGCTCCTCTGTCATATCAGTGTATTCCTCATAGCAGAATGCTCTATGTGTTCAAGGCTTCACTCTGCATATGGGGGACAGGACTGTCAAAGGAAAATAAAAAGCATGGGATTCAGATAGGAACACAACCAGCACAAAGCAAACTGAAGAAAGGAAATGGGAGAAAAACAAAAGCTTAGAAAGAAGAAAAGAAATAAAGAAAACCAAAAGCTAAGCACAGAGTTTTATATCCAGTAACCCAAGCAAGTGGGTTTTCAGATGGGAAAAAAAACTTAAAGGACTTCTAATTCAACCCCATCATTTTTGAAGATTTGGAAACCGAGTACCCGGGTTCTCGGTGATGTTAAGATAAGGAGTTTTGGGAACAGGACTGTGACTAGATCCCCCATCTTGTGCTACCTCCCAAAGAAAGTTCTTTCTACTTCTCATTTCTGTATCTCTGAACAACCTCTTAATGGTGGCCAAAGTCAGAAGAAAGGCATTATAAGGATTTCTGGATGATGCTTCCACTGCTTTCTTATGTTGGATGCAGATAACAAAACTGACTTTGCCCTCAAATATTGAATGCCTTCCTATCAGGTCAATGACTTCTTTTATTGGTAGTGAGTCTGGGAAGATAAAATGCCGTGGGCACTTGATCGGTGAGGTAACGAACCCTTTACAGCACTATGCTACAACAGTCTAAGGTTTTTGTTTTTATTTTTACAAACATTAGCTCATTTAATTGTCATATCAAAGCCAGGCTGAAATGTCAAAAGTGCCCTTGGTCTTCTGAACTCCAGCTGTTAGGAAATCTGGCTAATAGGAAGAGGACTTGGTGACATAAATATCCCCTCCTGTGAGACTAGTTCTGTAAGGCCTGTGAGTCAGACTGCAGGGTGCATCACAAGGGGCCACTTCCCTTCACCACCTGGAGTCTCAGGAAATAGAATATCCGTGGGCTGTGAGGAGGCTGGGGACAAGCACGGACCGTTAGCGAGTCTGCACGCACAGTTGACATTTACTTTGGATCCCATTCCTTTGGTTCTGACTTCTGAATCGGGGTCCTTCCCCACAAACCATTTTATCTTCCTCTATTCCTGTTGCTCGGGTAATCTACAAATGCTCCATTCCACGGATCAGAATAGACTCCCGATTTCCAATAATTTATACTATTCACTCTTTCAATCTCTAAAATTTGGCTAAGGAGCCTCCTGAGACATTACAGGCCACTAGAAACAATTCCCTCCAGCTGATTTGAGCTCCAAAGGGCAAAAAGGTGAAAAGGTGACAGGAGACAGCTTCCCCTTGGAGTAGCAAGGGAGCAGAATTATTCTGGATTGTTGGGGTTCAGAAGGAGTGGAGAGTAAAATAAGAGAACCCTGACTAGAGAAACTCCACATAACCTATTCTTATTCATTCTCTTATTCTCTCATTCTCTCTCTCTCACGCGCGCGCGTGCACACACACACACACACACACACACACACACACACACACACAGAGTCCGACCCTCCTCCCGCCACACCGCCCCTTCTGCGCCCCTCGGCATCTTCCCAGCCACACCGCGCGCCCTCTGCGCCCCGGGAACATTCGGGGCCGCTGGGCCAAACGTCACGGAAGGAGCAGCCCGGCGCCCTCCGCTCTCGGGGCGTCACGGTCCCCCCCGCACCGCCGGGCCCGCGCCGGCCTTCACCTTGATCCGCACGTAGCAGTGGGTGCCCAAAGAGGGGTCGTTCAGGCAGGCGGGGGGCTGTTCCCGGGCGACCCGCCGGAAGGTCTGCGCGGGCGCCCTGCCGATGCTCCACAAAAGTTTGAGCAGGTAGCCGGCGGCGCAGAGCCCGCAGTAGCAGTAGACCAGGCACCAGAAGAGCAGGGCGCGCACCGCGCGCGCCAGGCGGGGCAGGCAGTCCCCGAGCCGCGCCATCCGGCGGCCGCGCCAGGCCCGCTGCCCTTGCGACGCGCGGGAAGCGGCGGCCGCGCTCGGGCTGCGGAGCGAGACAGCGCGCGCGGCGGTGCGTCAGGTCCGCCCGCCCCGGCCGCCGGCTCCGCGCGCGCCTCCCCGCGGGCCCCCGGGCGGCCGCGCCGGGCCCGCGTCCCGCGTCCCCAGTCCCGGGTCGCCGCCGCGGGCTCCGGCGCGCTCGCTGCGCCCCCGGGGGCCGCCGGGCCAGCCCCGGAGCTGCGGCCGCCAGACCCCGCGCGGCGAGCCCCGCGCCCCGCGCGCCCAGGTGCCCCCAGCGCCGGGCACCGTGCCGAGCCCGCCCGCCGCCAGAAAGGGGAACCCCCTTCAAAGCTGCCAAACTGCGGGGGACAGGAAGGCGAGACTTCCCCGAGCCCGCCCAGGAGCCGCCGAGAGGCGCCCCTTTGGTTGTGAGCGGGGCGCGCCCCTCCCGCTCCGCGCCCCGTTAGGTGCTGGAATGTCGTTAGGCCTTTTTCTGGGTCCCGGCGACGGGGCGCGGGTCCGGGAGGCGCTCATTGGTCTTCGTGCTGCGGACAGACGTGGCTACTCAGGCTTCGCAGGCTTCGGAAGCTGTTGCTGTTCTCCAGCTCGGTTCGGAGACACCGGCAACCCATTTAGGCCTCGCTGGTTCTCAAGTCACGCTTCTGACAACCCCCATCTGTGTATTTTTCCTGCCTACATACATTTTTTGTCAGTTTTCCATTGCTGTAAGTGTTTTCCTCGCAAGAATATTGTATAAATATATTTAAATAATATGTGACCTTTTGCTTAGCATAATAATCCATCTGAGACACAATCTGTTGCTTGTGTTGTTTCTTTTTTTTTTTTTTTCTTTTTTGCTCCTGATTAGTATTTCATTGAATGGGTGTGCGATAATTGTTCGTTGGTTCCCCAGGTATGGGCATTGAGGTTTCTTCCCCAGGTTTCGGTAGCTATGAATAAAGTGATGATAAGCATCCATGTAAAGTTTTTTTGTGTAAACCTAAGTTTTCATTTCATTTCGGTTCACTTGGTGGGGCATTTCTCTGAAGATTTTATTCTTTTACAAAGTGTGTCCAGATTTTTTACTCACTTTTAAAAAATTGGGTTGTTTTCTTACAATTGAGTTTTTAATATAAAACTGAGTTGTTTTTATAAAATTTTAAAAGAATTTGGATACAAATCCTTTATTGTACTTTATGTGATTTGCAAATATTTCCCCAGCCTTTCTTTTTTCATTCGTGTAATAGATTTTGAAGAGATTTTCTTAATTTTGATGTCATCCAACTTATCATTTCTTTCTTTTCTTTTTTTCTTTAAGATTTATTTTTTATTTATACAATAGCTGGGGTACAGGCCAGAGGATTGGGAAGGTGAGAGGATTCACTAGAGACAGAGTGGGAAGGAGAACAGGCAGATGGAAAGCACTGCTGAGGGGAGCAGTGGGCAGGACAGGAAAGGTCTGCCACACCATGTGGGTATCTCCCTGGCCAGCCGGAATCGAACCTGCACTGCAGAGGCTGTGGACAGCTTCACAGCACTGTGCTCAACCCCCTGCGCCACCGGGGAGGCCCCCATTTCTTTGTTTTATAGATAATAATTGTGGTCTTCTATGTAAGAAAATTTTGCCTAACTCAAGATCAACAAGGATTTTTTTATCCTATGTTTTCTTCTAGAACTTTATGTTTTATGTTTAGGTCTGTGATCCATTTTTAATTGAATTTCAGTATAGGGCACAAAATCTGGATTGATATGTGCACATGAGTATTCAAGTGTCTTGTCACCATTTGTTGAAAAGAATATTTTCTGACTTTTTGATTTGTTGTAATGGTAGGACAGTGCTTTCTTGATTCTGAGTAGACTCCTGAATTCTTTTAAAAAAAATTGAAATACAATTGCAATAACATTGTTATAGTTTTATATATATATATTTTTTTAAGATTTATTTATTTATTTATACATGCACTGGGTACAGTCAGAAGCGCGGGAGGGTGAGAGAATTCACCAGAGCCAGAGCAGGGATCAAAGCAGGCAGAAGGACCGAAGTACACTGCTGAGGGGAGCAGTGGGCGGCAGGAGAGGTCTGCGCTCCATGCGGGACCCTCCTCCAGTGGCCGGGGAGCAGCCGGGGATCACACCGGCGCTGCAGAAGCCACGGGCAGCTTCGCAACCCAGCGCCACCAGGAAGGCCCAACATTGTTATAGTTTTATGGGCACAACGACTTGTCTATATAATGATGTTTACCACAATAAGTTTCATACATAATTTTGTTTTGACTGTTATCATTTTATTGAAAATTTTAATGAGATAATTATAAATTTATATAGTCATAAAAGAAATAATACAGAGAATCTGTATATACTTTATCCAGGGTATTTTGCAATTTACCTATAATTTTATCATATATGTAGGATTCTGTACCAACCAGCAAAGTCAAGAATACAGAACATTTCCATACCACAAGAATCCCTCATGTTGCCCTTTTATAACAGCATTGTCACCTGGCCCCTAATCCTTGGCAACTTCTGTTCTCTATTTCTAAAAGTTTATCATTTCAAATATGTTATATAAATTAAATCATACCATATTTTAGCTTTAGGTTTCACTTTTTTCACTCAGCTTAATTTCCTAAAATTTCAAGTTCTCGCATGTATCTGTGGTTCCTTTCTCTTGATTTCTGGGTAGTATTCCATAGTAGGTATGTATGTACTACAATTTGTTTAGCCACTCACTGATTAAATGACTTCTGGGTTGTTTTAGTTGGGGGCTATTACAAATAAAGCTCCTATGTACATTTGTGTATAGGTTTTTGTGTGAACATAAGTACAGTTGCTGGGTCAAATGGTAATCGCATGCTTTGCTTGTAAGAAACTGCCAACTGATTTCCACACTGTACCACATTTTATTTCTCCAGCAACGTATTAGTTATCCAGTTTATCTATATTCATGCCAGCACTATGTTGTTATTATTTTTTATTTTAACCTTTTTGATAGGTACGCAATGAAATGTTGTTTATTTTACTTAATTTTTTTTTTTTAGTTTAGCACCATTTATTATGACCACAGCTTTTGCTGTAGCTGGTGTCCATCAACCTGTTCTTAAAGTACCTCCTTCAATTTCTCTTGTCCAGGACAGAAGATCCTCCAGGTAGCATACCAACAGAACGAGAGACTTCAGTGATGGCACTGCTCAATGGCAACTACTAGAAGTTTTAAAAAATGCCTCGCATTTTGATGCTGTCAGTGTGGGTTTTTATTCCCTAATGGGAATAAAATTCCTGAAACCCAGATATGGGCTATGTCTGCTTGGTAGCAGAGTATTATTCCATGTGGAAATAATGTTCTCCTGAAACTGGATGGTGACCACAGCCCCACAGATTGCCTCCTTGACTGTGACCTGTTCTCCCAACATGACCAGAATGAGACTCGCCCAGCAATAGGATGCCAAGCCCTTCTGCAGTGGAACAATCCCCTTGTCACCATTATTTGCTTCATCATCCCACATGGGTGTAATTTCTTCTTTGGACAATTTTTTTTAAGATTTATTTATTTATTTATACAAGCACTGGGGTACAGTCAGAAGCACGGGAGGGTGAGAGAATTCACCAGAGCCAGAGCAGAGAGCAGAACAGGCAGACTGACGACGTGCACTGCTGAGGGGAGCAGCAGGGGCAGGAGAGGTCTGCGCGACATGTGGGACCCTCACCCAGTGGCCGGGGATCGAACTGGCACTGCAGAGGCTACGGGCAGCTTTGAACCTAGCGTTCAACCGCTGCGCCACCGGGGAGGCCCTGTAATTTCTTCTTTGAAGAGATGGAAGTCACTGTGGCCTGTGAGGTCCCTGGTGCTTGCCATGTGACTGAAAAATCTCTAGAACTGCTCCACAAAGGCAAAGGTGCCTATCTGTTTGATATTCTGTTCACAGCTGTGTGAACTGGTGGGACAACTGGGGGTTCTCCTGGAGTACCAGAAAGTATAGTTATACTGCAGGGGATGCTCTACCGGTCCTGAAACAACCACCTTACTTTTGCTGTTGCTCTGACTTTTCCTGTTCCATTTTTTCTTTCTTCCATCTTTCTGTGTGCTGTTTTCTTCATTCTGATCATGGTCCTGTTGTGCAACCATCCCTGGCCTGGCAGATTTACTGTTCATTGGGGTAAACAGAAAAAAGATTCTTGGAGCCTTAGGTGTATCTGACATGTCTTTAATGCTGAAGCAGGGCACCAGAACCACAGGCAGGCAGAGGAAAAAAAAAACAGAGATGGAAAGATAGGAATAGCACTGAGCCTCCTAGTCCCCTTTATTATTGTGCATACAAGGCACTTTCAAAGTTAACTAACCATCTGTTGTTTGCTAAATGTCTGAAGGTGGAAAATGTAACTGATACATTTCAAGGTTAAGGGCTGTCTGCTGTTGGAAGATGAAAAAGAGACTGAGTTAATGCATTTTCCTTATAGTGCTTACTGTTGATAGCATCATCTTTTTTGTTGTTGAGAAAAGGTAGTATAAAGCACTTTTATTGCAATAATAAAACTTGAAACTATGAGATCACTACATAGGATGGCGAAATGATAAGAGGGCAAAAGGAAAAGCCAGGAAACTGTGAAGTCAGCAGGGGCAACTGAGCATCAAAGAACAAGAGATGGTGAAGGTGTGACAACCAGCAGCATTTTCTGGTAAGAACACATACTACACTTGGCCTTAACCAAAAGGCTGAGATGAGAGAAACATCACTTCCTTGAGAACACTTAAGGATTTGTCTTGATGGCTGGGTTTTCAGTGGTGTTACTAGTTTACAAACAGCAGTTAAGTTCAAACGTTTGATTAAAATTTTTAAAATTTAGGAAGAAGTTTGGATAGCTATGAGATTTCAAGTCTTGAATATCCGTTGGAAAAACGACAGTGTGAGTGGAGGATCCAGGCTATAATGAACGCTTTGGAGGTCCCCCCTGGCCTGGGGATCCAAAACTTTTGTCCAATATCAGAGTGAAAATGATCTACTTTCAAAAGGCAAAGAT